AGAACCCGTTCGAGAACCATCTCCAGAACCCCTACGTGAACCAACGCCAGAACCCGTTCGAGAACCATCACCAGAACCCATTCGAGAACTATCACCAGAACCTGTTAGAGAACCATCACCAGAACCTCTCCGAGAACCATCACCAGAACCCATTCGAGAACCATCACCAGAACCCCTTCGAGAACTATCACCAGAACCCCTCCGAGAACCATCACCAGAACCCCTTCGAGAACTATCACCAGAACCCCTCCGAGAACCATCACCAGAACCCCTTCGAGAACCATCACCAGAACCCATACGAGAGGAAACACCTGAGCCTCTATGTGAACCAACACTGGAACCTGTAAAAGTACCATCTCCAGAACACCCTGTGGAACCTATGTCCCAGCTGTCATCAGAGGAAGAACTAGGAGCTGATTCTTTCCATGAACAAGCCTCCAGTGTCCCTGTGTCGGCCCAGCTGGACCTTTTCAAATTTCAGGAGTCTGTTCCCTCCTTGGGAACTACTGTTATGTCTCCTCCTTGCTCCCCACCAGGCCCAGTTTCTCCAGTTAGAGAGCCACAGAACCCTTCTTCTCTGCTGGACATGCACTTTCAGTCTGACCCCTGGGACAAGAACCAACACTCGTCTGACTTTGCTTCAGAGAGCACAGTCAGCATGATGAACTTCCAGACAGAAGAGGAGAGGGAGAATAAAGAGCGATTCACACATGAGACAAAGGAGGACGAAGAGGAGGAGGAAGATGACGAAGAGAAAATCCTGTTTATGCCTTCCTCCACAGCTCCTTCTGCAGAGGCCTTTAATATGATGGCACAAACCCACTTGTTGGGTGCCTCGCCCATTGATGATTTCACCCCCAGGGACCTGATCTCCCCTCATGAAAAGGAGGAGGCAGTGGAAAAGGCTGATGAAGAGATCAATGAAGATGATGATGAGGAGGATGAAGATGAGGAACAGAGGAGACTAGGCCATCAGCCTGCATCCATGATCACTGAAATGAGCACTTCTCAACCCTCTGAGGAGTTTCAAGTCCGCTCCTCAGCATTTGGCGGTTCAGCGGGCTGGCACGGTGACGACCTTTTGTCTGGGATGGACTCTGAGGATGTGAGCAGCTGTACCAGCAGCCGGCAGCAGGGAGTCTCTGACCTCAGTAGCACCCAGCACACCGCTATATTAGAGGGCACCCAGAGCTCAGATGCCATGATCGATTCAAGCCTCCGTGGCTCTGAGGGAGATGGTAATCTCATGGGTTCACCCAACGTGGAAACCCTAGCCAATGAAGAAGAGGAGGACGAGGACGAAGAGGATGAGCGGGTGGATGATATGGACTTGAGTTCAGAGAGAATAGAGGAGCATCACAAGGTGTTCCAGCAGCAGGAACGTGATGAGGAGGACGATGAGGATGTAGAGATGCACAGTGAAGGCGTGACGGAGAGCTGTGGAAACGTAGATGAAGATGACTTCAATGAGGAGGAGCATTTAGACAACCTCAATCGCTCTGTTCCTCCACCCTGCATGCCCCCAGCTCCCTCCTGGGGCCAGACCAACCCTTTCGCTGATACCTGGGGTCAACCAGCATCACTGCTCTCTGTCTCCTCTCCCAGCCCGGTGTCTGACCATGGGGCAGCTGAATCTGAAACGCCAACTCAATCTCCTGCCCAGGCATGTTTGGACAGCAGTGCCCCTTCCTTTGCTCCTCAGCCAGAGCTCCAGTCAGCCCACGAGGAGATGAAGGGTTCCGAGGAGGCACAGGACCTACTTGCTGGCCCTGCTATGGGCATGTCTCAGAGTGGCACAGGTTTGTCTGCTCACGGTAGCAGTGAGACAAGCACACCAGAGGAGCTCCGCGACTACGACAGCAGCTCTGGGGTGGAGTCGCGTTCTGACAAGCAGCAGACTCCGGTGCCTGCCTCAGTCCAGCCTGACCTGGAGCAGGACCTGGGTATCCACTTGGAGAAAGGTGATGGAGAAGAGGAGGAGGCTGAGACACTCCCTGCTGACGAGGTCCTGGGAACAGGACCCCCAACTGCTCCAGCATCTGCCCCTTCTTCCCCCTCCACCTCGGGAGACGAGGCCAGTGATACGGAGGGTGAGATGCAAATAAATGACCCAGATGCACCAATGATGATGGATGAGAGTGCTGGATTTGAAAGCCCTACTCCAACCTGTAATTTGCCAGCTCTTGACGAGGATGAGGAGGCAGCAGACACAGCTGCTGGAGACGGCGAAGAGGATGGAGGTGGGGCCACTCCCCAGTCAGCCAACTCTGTGGCATCTTATGGCTTCGACTGCACCACATCCAACTCCAACGCACACTCGATGGCCGAGAGCTGCGGAAAGAGCCCGGGGATCTTCTCCCTAGAGAACATGGAGCAGCTGCCTGAGGAGGCCAAGGACCCCTCCCTTATCAAGGAGCTGACCCTGCCATCAGCGGCCGCCGCTGCCCACGCAGACGACCTGCTGGGCAGACCTGTGGACCTGATGCCTTTGGGCCTTCCGGGAGGAATGCCGCCCAGCCTAGATGAGCACCACTACATGCTTGGTGGAAAGGTTGCAGCAGACCACCTTGGCGAAGTCGATCCATTGGAGTCCAGTCACCACTTCGGGGCCCAGGAATCTGGAGAAACCGACGATAGCCAGCCACCGTACTACTCAACCATTTGTGATAAGACTGATAGTTTTCTGGCAGGTAATGTATAAGTCCCTCCTATTACCCCTGGAATGCACCTTTTCCCCACAACCCTCCCCTTACCTGTTGTTTGTTTTCTCTCCAGTTGAGTTAGATGGCTTAGAAGAAAAAAAGAGGGGAGCCAGAATGTAGGAAAAAATAAAAAAAAACAAAGAATGGAGATGAGAAAAATGACTGTAGCAAATTTTAAATGAAGCCTCCCTCTTTCATACTGTTATGATCATGGTTATGAGTGTCTGGCTTAAACTCCTTTATGTACAATAGCTACTACCATTTTCTAGTAGAATGTTCTTTTTAAGTAACACTGCATATTCTGTAGCCCCTGATGGGGTATTGACTGATTGGTCCAATGTGACTGAGCGTTTAAACCGAAAAAAGAAGAAAAAAAAAAATAGATGGAATGACATGGACTCATTGTGTATTTATCCTACTGTTTTTACCGAACAAATGTCAATGACTTTTTTTTGTTTTGTATTTGCTTATTTGTTGTTGGTTTTTTTTTTTTTTTCCACCTCTCCCCGACTCCCTCTCTCCTGTTCTTTGTTCCTCTCCTCCGTGTGCCAGCCCAAACTCGTGGCTTAAAGACATTGGTTTTTTTTTTTTTGGTTTTCTGTTGAAACCAGGAGCCTGTGCTACGTGGAAACAGGATTTTACAATAATCGAGGTAACTTTAGGTTTAATTCTGAGTTTTTGTAGTTCTTCAAAGCCGTTCAGCACCAGTTACCATGGTGACTTGATTTACCAGCAGAGTTTAAGCTGACGTTACCAAATTCTGCCTCGTAGCGCAGACCCCTGGTCCTCCCTACCCTGTGTACACACGCTTCATGTTCAACAGCACCATAGCGATAGTCACATGCTCCTTTTTAAAGGTCGTCTTCTTGTTTCAAGACTTTTAGCTTTTGAAAATAAAGGCTAGATATTAACACGGCGGTTGGCCCGTTGAGATGTGTTGAGGTAGGTATGGGAGTGTTAGATTGCAGTTGGTGAAGTTTTTTAATGTGTGCATCCAGAGGTTCACGCTCTTTGCGTAGGTGGTTACGGTATATAACGTGCAGTCACGTACAGTATGTGTTTCAGGCTTTTGGTTTTTAAGTGGCTACGCTTCAGGCCTCAGTTAGCTGATCATTTGTGTTCGAGGAGAGACTAACATCTAGCACATTATTTGTGATGAGACCCTGCATTGTCCTACACAGCTTTACATTCGCTGAAACGTTCTCATAGCCAGCGTTTGGTTTACTATTTCAACAGTATATTGCATGTTTAACTAACAAAGAGACTGTGTACTACCTTGAATTTGAAACAATTCTACACTAGACATGTTCATAAATGAATGGTTCACACTAGGTTATCTTTCAAAATTCCATTAAAACATCCTTGCAAGGCATTTTGTTCCTGTTTCTTATTTCCCCTGTGGCTCCAGCATGCCTGAACTTACTGTCCTTGTGTTTGAATCGCTGTGTATTCGTGTGTCTCCACAACTGACTTTCCATGGTACCTCCTCCTCATCGTTCACCATGGGAATAACTGGTAAACAGGAAGTGATGCAACATTGTACAATGTTGTATCTCAAATGGAATTTTGGTCAACATCAAACAGGTGATGGCGTCCTCGTGCCTTGTTCTTCTCCAGCATGTTCTGTGCTTTCAAGACAACATGACACTGAAAACACACGTCCGCTCAGCGAGGCTCCTGTAAAGATGCCCTGTGGAGTTTTTTTATGAACAGACAAATGTGTTCTCTGTTTTTAAGGTCTCCCAGAGGTCCAACAAATGTGTTGAGGTATATTTGTAAAGCCAAATATTTTCAATTATTCATCGTTAACCTTCATGTTAACATTGTTAATCTCTATCAACATATTCTACATGTGAATCTGGAGCGTCTGCTTTCTGTTTCTAGTTTGAACAGGCGTTGTTTGCCTGCAGGAAAGAAAAGAGGCGAAACGCATTGAACAAAATTCATCGGCTGTTGGCTCTTTAATTCATCAGCATTCATATGCAGATCGCTGATAGAGATTAGTCACAGGGTAACTTTAACAGCAGCCTCTCTCCAAGTCTGCACAAGTGATACAAACAAGGTGAAACATGCTCAGATCTGTACAGTTCAACAAACACACATCTCCTCTGTCGCATCAATGCATCCGATCAAAGAAGACCAAACACATTTGCCCCTTTTGTGCCTTTTTTCCTCTGACCTGCCTGCTCCTCTTCATCAAAACCCTCGTATGGAAACATGCCAGACCTCTCACACACACACACCCCTCTACCTGACTCCCCTCTGAACGTTCAGCTGTGATAGTGAATATATTCATGAGACTGTGCGAGCCCCGATTCAGGTTTGTGTTTTGGGACATTTGAAAAATATGAAGTTCAATAGAGGCACCCAAAATAAATGAATCAGCTTCAGAACTTTCAGTTAAACAGTAAAATGCATCATCACATTTTCATTAACAAAGTTCAGTTTGTCCTATGTGATGTTTGTGTGAGTTTTATTCCCTGTGTCCATCTGTCTCTTCAAGTACATGTTGTCTGTACTGTGTATTTATGTCTTGCACGATAACCAAAGTATTCTTGTACCTTTACGAGGATGTGCTGTAGTTTACTTTATTAATTAGAATACAGTAAAACATGTCGTTCTAAAGGAAATGCAACTTCAGAGAGAAAACATCTTGCACATTATACCTTGTTCCTGTTTCCTGGTTTGTTTCTACCAGTTTCTAGTTTTCCTGTGTCATGGATGTCACTTTATTTTGAGAACCCCCTTTTCTTTTTGCGTTATACCTTCTTCACCCTCTTGTCAGATGTCTCCTGAACCCCGCTCCTCCCGGCCCTTGTTGTTCCACCCGTACTGTTGATGCATGCATCTCCTCTGGATGCAACAAGTGATCTTGACTGTCTCACAGGAGACGAGAAGAGAGATGAAGCGGATGGAGACCACAAGCCTCAAGCCGACTCCCAGGAGGACAACCAGAACCAGAACCACACTACCCCTTGTCCTATAGCCAACGGCCACTACTTGGCGTTGGTCCCAGGAAACAGGAGGCCCATCGATTCGAGTCTTGCGGCACATTTTGCCAAGATTGCGCCTCCTCCTCCTTTGATAGAGACCAGCGGTGATGGACACGCTGGTGGAGAGCAGCTGAGAAGGCTGGAGGAGCACCAGCAGAAGCTGAGAGAGATGCAGCACCGGCAGGAGCAGGAGAGGCAGAAGAGGCAGTGGCTGGAGGAGGAGCGGCTGAGGCTGGAGCAGCAGAGGCAGCTGGAGATGCAACGCAAGGAGCTCCTCCAGCTGCAGCTCCAGCAGCAGCAGCAGGAGCACCGCCAACGCAGGCAGGTTCTTCAGTGGCAGCTGGAGCTGGAGCAGCAGTACCGCATGCAGCAGAAACACATCCAGCAGCAGCAGCAGCTGAGGAGGAGCCCGACCGGAGTCATGCTCTCCCCGTCCTCGGGCCTCTGCACCATCTATGAAGCCATGGAGACCAGCGACGAGGAGGACGAGGCCAGAGGAGCGCACAACAGGAACAAACAAGTGGTGGGGAAGGGGCCGCCGTCCTCCCAGGAGTTCAACAGGCAGCTGCGTCCAGTGCCTCCACAGGACCTCGAGTGGAACAAGAAGGTGGACATGGTGCAGCAGCTCATCAACCAGACCTTGATGCTGTCCGGGGACGGAGGCTGCCCACCTCTCCTGCTCCTCCCTGTCGGGTCCGGGGGCACCCTGAGCCCCCTGGAGAGCAGCATGTGGCCCAACATGCTGCCGCAGTTCAGCCCTCCCGTCGCTACCGTCACCTCCGTCAGCAGCTACTCCCCGGACAGTCAGGGCAGCTCCCCCCCCGGAGACTGGACGGTGGTGGAGGTGGAGACCCAACACTGAGGAATCACAGGTCGATCGCTAACCGTTGAATATTTTGAGAGATTTGCTTATTCGCTCTCTGGTGGAGAATTAGATGAGAGGATTGACTCTGCATGGACCAGTCTTGCAGCTAGTTAGCTTAGCAAACAACTTCACTTTTACACTTCTGTTGTCGTGATTAAGAAACTTAGACCTCTGCCAACCTGTGTGGAACATTGATCCTGATCTGCACCACATCCTGCAGACTAACTTTGTGAAAACCCATTGTGTAATGTTTGAGTCATCTTACTTACAAACAAACAAACAAACAAACAAACCCATAAACAAATGAACGGGGGTGAAAACCACCTCCACAGTGACACTATCACTAATGTGAGCGAGGGATTGATTCTCTTACTCTCCACCGGGAAACAAGCCAATAAGCTCGTCTCCCAGAATGACGACCTGTTCCTTTAATCATGGAAACACAACAACGCAGCCAAGACTGAAATTACTGACCGATTTGTGTCTGTACTAAAAAACAACAACACATCACACAGCAGTCATATCTGACTTGAGAATAGAAACAGATCAGGTTGTCGTGGGATCATCATGTGACCACACGGACGTTTCACAAACACTCTTCTCATCAGAACATTGATTCGTTTCCACACATCACACACTCAGGCTGCGGCATGTTTCCTCACCGGAGGCCGTCAGTCGCCTCGGCTCCGTCTGCAGCTGCTGCAGAAACGCTGTCATGTGCTCTCACTCGTTTCTTTGAACCGGACTCTGAAACCAAACGTTGCTCGTCCTCTCACACGAGGGATTTACGACGCTATGACACATTGCACTTGTTTTTTTCTCATGTTTCTCTGTGTGGACCCAAGTGTTGACACAGGTAAGTGGCTGTATTGTAGAAACCTGTTGTGTGTGTGTGTATTGTGATAAATCCTGATGGGAAGATGCTGCTGCTGTGACATAGCCTCCCCCCCCCCTCCTCCATCCTCCCTCCCTCACCAGTAAATGTGACCTTTTCCAGGTTTTGACTTCATAGAGCCGTCAGTCTTGGAGGGAGAGGGGTCGGGGGGACACGGGGGAGAAGAAGGCCCTCCTTGTTGTGCTGTGAAGGGGGAGGGAGACGAGAGAGAGGGTGCAGGACTGGCGGAGGGTGGTCGAGGGTGCTGGTTGAGGGGGGTGGGGGGGGGGTTGTTGTCTTCCATCTCACATTCCAAAGTTGTAACCTCATTTCCTGGGTGGGCCTGTATTCAGGGGGTCTCCGAGGTTACTGGGTGATGTCATCGGTGGGAGAGACAGGAGGGTGAGGGTGTGGGGGGGGGGGGTCATCAACCAACACTTCATACTTCATACGTGTTCCCTATAACATACGACAAATTAAGAGTTTCTACATTTATATTTGCTGTGATTTGTGCAATATATCAGGTGATCACAACATATCAGGAG